ACTTATCAGGGACAGGGATTATTTGAAATTGTGGATCTGAGGTGCCATTTTCTTTACAAAACCCAACAAAAATTGGCCCCTGCCTGTGTGTCTGATACCATCTCAGTAAGCTCTGCTTCCCTCATCCATGAAGCTCCCTTCTCTCCAATCCCTCGCAAATCACTTTTTAAGATCACATAATTTTGTGGGACAGTTTGGGTTATTACCCCCAAATATATACTCTCCCCTCCAATGGTGAGTGAAATTTATTTCTCTACTCCATGCTTTGGGGTTAACCATATGATTTGTTTTAGCCAACAGAACATTTAAAGGCATGACACAAGTGGACTGAAGTGGAAAAGAGCTGTTGCTCACTTCAGTTCTGCTAAAGCTGTAAGAGCAACATGCCCCAGGTTAGCTCTTGGTGCCAGTACATGAGAGATGTATTGTCCAGATCTGAACAGAACCGATGATCTGTACCCAACCCAGATCAGAGCCACAGATGCATAGCTGAGAGAAGAGTTGGCCCATCAGCTATCATAAAATGTGGGGTGCTGCTGCAGAGTTATCTCTTCATGGCTCCAATTCTGATCTCTTCACATTATTGTATAGTATTCTCAAAATAAAGAGAGGCAATTGCACTTAAGTCTCTATCTATCTATCTATCTATCTATCTATCTATCTATCTATCTATCCATCCATCCACTGTTGATATCATGTTAATAATTTATCTACCTATCATCTGTTGGTATTCTATTGATAATTTATCTACAATCTATTGATACTCTAGTAATTATTTACTAATTTGCATACATATACATATCCTCTCTCCTCCCATTCATCACTATCTATCTATCTATCTATCTATCTATCTATCTATCTATCTATCATGTATCTACCTTATGTGTCACTTATATATCTTATATCTATTAATAATCTTGATCAACATACATATTGTTTCTCCACAATCCATATTTATCATCTATCTATCTATCTACCCATCTACCTACCTACCTACCTATCCTCTCCAACACATATTTATTAAATAAATGAATTTCTCAAGAACACTTAGAATGTACTTTGTACCCAATCAATGCTTGCTGAATGGAATTACTGAACCATCCAAACAAGCTTATATTGTGTCCTAACAAGTATATCCATAAACCATAGTTGTCACAGGGCCCAAATGGTTAGCAGTGACACTCTGTCCTCTTTCCTGCTTTGTCTGATCCTGCAAAAGGTCTTTGCTATAAAAATACCCACACTGAAAACAGATGATGTGTCAACTCAGTAATTTAAACCATGAATCTGTACTTGCTTAAAGATGAACTTGTTTGGAAGAAAAATGAGAAAAATGCTTGTGTCTGTCCAACAGAGTCCAGGGTAAGAGCATCAATTTTGGTTCCTAGCAGGTCCAGGACATAATAGAAGGAAACTGCTGAGCTCAGCAGCTGAGTGAGCCACTCTTATTTTCACAAACACAGTTTCGGGGATGGTAATCGTATCTATTAGCAAGGGTGACTCCACTGTGGGCCTGACAGAAAAATGAACTCCCCCACGCTGCAAAATGAGCAAAGTGGAGATCGATAAATCATAAAATTAGTTGAGACATCATCTATCTTTCTTGGCTTCCCCTCTATTCTTGCCACAGTCCCCTGGGACACTAATTCATTTATTGCATTTTTATCGTTGGGGAAACATGTCAAGGTTTGGAGACTGCATTCAGTTAGGAGAGCAGGGGCAATAATGTGTGTCATTAATTAGGCAGTTTGGGGAGGTTTAATCCAAACTCTAGTCTCAACTGACTTTCATAAATTGAGTTCCTGGACTATGTATGTGTCTTTATCAAAAAGCAGTGTTATTGAAATGTGCCCTGAGAGGGAGAGAGTGAGGGACCTATCTGCTCACTCTAGAGAGGCAATGAATTTGGGAACAATCTAGGTGGTCAGCTAGATGCAATCTGCATTGTCTGAACAGCCTTTCTCCTATCAGCACGTAATCAAAGTAAATGTGGGACACAGCCTGGATTAAAGTGTACATGTCACTTGGCAACTAGCTGTATGCCTGATCCTAAGAAGCATACAAGAAGTAGATTTTTGAAATATTTTATTGTAGTAAGGTACTTAGAATGAGGTCTATGCTCTTTACATTATGATTTATTTGTATTTATGTGTATGTGAGTAAAGTTGCATTCAGAGGTCAGAGGTGGATGTCAGATTTCCCTGGCACTGGAATTATAGGCTGCTTAATGTGGGTTGTGGGAACCAAACTTCAGTCCTCTGCAAGAGAGCCCAAGATGTATGTTTTAAACAAAATTTCACATGTTCCATTAAGTTGTTGTGTATTGGCACTAAAAACATGATTAACTGAAATTTTGCACTTGTTTATTAGTGACTGCTCATCTCTCTCTGGCTCCTAGAAACCATCATTCCACTCTGGTTCTTGATGCTGCCTACCATAGATACTCTATATGCACTGTATGTCCCTGCATGACTGGTTTATTTCACTTAGCCTGCCACCCTCAAGGTTTAACCTAAATCTCATATTACTGAATTTTCGTTTTTTCCATCTGAGTAATAATATTCCATTGCATGTGCATATTACATGTTGCCTACCCACCCATCTGTCAATTGAAGTTTGGGTTGTATCCTCTTGGCTCTTGTAGACAGTGCTGCAGCTGCAATGACTGTGGGGCTGCTAACACCTCTATGTGGCCCTAATATCCATTCTTGATACAAAGCCAGACGAGGTACTCCTGGATCACATGGTAATTAGAGTCTTACATTTACTTTTAAAACCTCCATTTTGTTTCCCAAGGTGGTTGTACCATCTTGCATTCCCGCCTGTGGTGTGTGTGTGTGTGTTGGCAGCTCTTGTCTCATCCTGGTAGCTGTCTTGACAGCTTTGAGTCGATGTTTCACTGTAGTTTCCATTTTCATTCAGTGATATTGGTTCATGCTATTGAGCCCTTTACATATAATTGTTAGTGTTTGATTAACTAAGAAACTAAGGGCCAATGAGAGGGCTCAGTGGGTAAAGTTAATTGCTGCCAACCCTGATGACTCAAGTTCAATCTCCAAGGCTTATGTGGTAGAAGGAGAGAATTGGTTCTCCTCAAACCTGTCCTTTGTCCACACATATGCATAAATAGTATGTGTGTACACACACAATCATTAAATATAGCCTGTAGAAATGGAAGCCTACATTAAAGAAACACACAAGAGAAAATACAGATAAATGGGAAGAGAGCTAATATTTATGGAATATTGAGTAGTGTTAGGATTCCCATGTTATCCAATGGGAAATGTGGATCTTTGCAATCTCTATCAGATATATTTCACTGAATATAGAAATCAATCCAATCCAAAGCTTATGCAGAGCTACAAACTCCCAGGAGTGCTTAGACATGTCTTGTGGAGAAAGAGCTAAATTGGAGGCTTCATACTTCCTGACTTCAAACATATTGTGAAGCTGAAGTAGCCAGATCAGTGTGGCACTGGCATAAAGACAGACATGACCTGATGGTACAGAACAGAGAGATTAAAAAATAAAATAAAAAAGCTCAAGTGTTCAACTGAGTGTTGACAAACGGGCCAAGAGTGTACAGTAGACAAACGATAGTCTCACCAACAAATGAAGTTGGGAGAATTGTGTGTCTACAAACAAACAAACAAACAAACAAAAAACAAACAAACAAGGAATTTGGGTAAACTGCATTAGTTACGAGTACTTCTCCCATGTTCCATATCTAGTTTATCTGCAAATGGTCCAAGCCTTTTTATTTTATGCCATGGCCCTGTCCACCATCAGAACCAGACAACTTGTTCTTCTGCCTTCTCACCTTGTCCTATTCTTCATATAGACGCAAGAATATCTTTAGATTGGGCCCAATGAGATGATACTGCAAAGACTCCAAGGTGGACAGATATGCACAGGGCTTAGGAATGGCAGCTACCATCATAGACCATGCCACAGTAGATGCCACTCCACTTGAGGTCATGCTGATGAGGCAGACACTGGTTCTTTGTGTGGGAGCATTGATAAAATGAGAGATTCTCCTTTTATTTAAACAAGAGTCTTGGGGTGCTGGGAGGAACTACTTGTTATCAATGGGGAAAAGTGCTGTCCTCAGCATCCATTCTGCTTTGCAGGCTGCTCCCCTCACTGCCATATTTGAAGCTTGAGACCTTGCCAGTTAGCCTCCTGTCAGGGCAGGTGTCTGATATGAGGGCATGGTAGCAGCACTACTGGTAATGATTTATGTGCACATAATGTTTTATGTGCATGTGTATCTCTGAGTGTGATCATGTGGGAGTATTAGTGTGTGTGTGTGTGTGTGTGTGTGTGTGTGTGTGTAAACAGCATGCATGTGGAGGTTAGTGGACAGCCACAGGTGTGAAGCATCTACCAATTTTCCTTGACAAAGACTCTTTCATAGACCAACAACTTTACCACATAGGCTAGGCTAGCCGGCCTGTGAGCTTCTGGTGGTTCAGCTGTATCTGCCTCCTGTCTTGCCATCACTGGGATTTACAGGTGTGTGCCATACTTGGCTTTTTCAGGCAGGTCCTGGAGATCCAAACTCAGGTCCTCCCAGGTCATACTTTGCTGACTGAGCCTGAAACTCTGATAAAAAAAATCTCCATCTCTTTGTTGATGCCTTTGAAGAGGATAGATTTCAGAACTGTGTGCTCCATCCTGGTCTTTGATTTCCATTTTGTCCCCATCAAGGAGTCTTGGCCAGAAACTACATAGGCTGTGGGTTCCCCAGACTGGGTTTGAATTCCAGCATGACTTTAAAAACTTTATTTTTATTATTTTAAATTATGCCCACTCCACATATGTGCTTATGAGTATAGTGCTTGAGGAGGCCAGAAGAGGGCATCAGATTTGCTGGAGTTTAAGTTACAGGTGGTTGTGTAGATCCTGTGGGTGCTGGGAACAGAACTTGGCCCCTTTGGAAGAACATGTATACTCTTAACACCTGAGTCAACTTTCCAGTCCCTCTCCATGATTTTTTTAAAGATATGGAATGCTTCATAAATTTGTATGCCCTCCTTGCACAGGGGCCATGCTCCTCCTCTATGTATCATTCCAATTTTAGTATGTGTGCTGTCGAAGCGAGCACTCTCCCCATGGTTTTTTATGTGATTTGGGAGATAATGGCTTGCATTGAGGCCCAAGGGACTGCTGTTGTTGAGATTTGGGTTATTTATGTCCTGTATCCAGGCTCTTTCTGCTTTCAGATTTTGTCTTGTTTTTGCAGACAAAAAACACATATATCATTGCAAATTAGGACCTATTTGACATATGTCTTCAGAGTGGGTGCAGGATTCCTAGTGGCCAGAGGAATGGTGAGTTCTATACTGATGGTATGCAGGACTGCTGTAAATGTTGAGAACCCAAAGCAGGGGACCTTTAGTTCCTTTATTTTAGAAAGACTGTTGCCTGTTCTTACACATGCCATTCAGCAGGTGCCATGTACTTTTTAAAAATTGTTTTTGTGAATAATTTTAGATTCATGGAAAAGTCTCAAAGATAGCACAGAGAATTCCTGCATTTGCCCTTTACCCAGTTTGCTCCAGATTAGTAATATCATGTATGCAGTTAACACAAATACACTGCCATTGACTAAGCTGTGGTCTTCCTTCCTCTCCCCCCCCCCCCCCGGGCTAGGGCTGGAACTCAGAGCCTTTCAATTCTAGGCAATCTCTCAACCACTGAGTTACACTCCCAGCCTAGTTCCTAAGACCCTTTTATTTTTGAGTTGGATCGAATTTAAGATATCACCTTGTACTTAGTAGTCTGGCCTTAAATTAAAAAAATTATTTATTTGTGCATATATGTCTCAGTTTGTATGCATGGTAGAGGTCAGGGGGTTATGTTGGGTATTTTTCTCAATTACTCTCCACATTATTTTTTTGAGGCAAGGACTCTCATTGAACCTGGAGCTCATCGGTGACTTGCCTAAATTTGCTGGCCAGTGAGCTTCAGGGATTCACTTGTCTCTGCCTCCCTAGTGGTAGGGTTATAGGCATGTACCACCACACCTGGCTTTTTACTTGGCATGGTAGATCCAAGCTCAGGTCTTCATGACTGAGTAGCAAGCACTTACCAGCTGAGTCACTCTTCAGCCTGCATTCAGTAACTTAAAAAATAGGCAAACAATGCTTTAAATTCCTTACAGTCAACAGGCCTATTGACTGCCCCTGCCAGCATGGACCACTCCTGTTAATTGCACCCACCAGGGTGGCTATTTCTGTTGGCTGCACTGCCAGTGTGGACCACCCTTGTGGACAGCACCTGCCAGGGTGGAACACTCCTGCTGACAGACCGAGCAGGGTAGACCACTCCTGCTCTCCCTCTTGATGCCCTTCCTACTTGACCTCTGGAAAGCTCACTTTTTTCCCTCTTTTCCTTGTTCTCTTTGTATTCAAAGAATTTTTCTTCTTCTTGTTAACTTCCCATGATTTCATCTTGTTAATCTAAGTAAATACATACCTTCCATTTACCTTCTTATTAAACACTGTGGTTTCTTCTGAACCAAACCTTGCTAATTTCATCAGAAATAGACACACAGATGATGACACCACATTGAGTAGTTATTTTAATGTGAGGTGGGAATTCTCTGTTGAATGCATCAACATTGATTTGCTCAACTATCCCCTGATGATGGGCATTAGGGTTGTTTTTATTCACTGAGAATTATAATATGACCACAAGTCAGTTGTGGTTTTCTTGGAGGGCAAAAGGAGGCTGGTAGAGGAAAAACATGATCTTATTTGACAGCAGTCTTTGCTAGAACCCCTAAGACTTCTCTGGTTCTTTCCCTCAGGGATTATCCCTTGGCGATGGCTCAGATAGTGAGGCAAGCATTGAAGACTGTATCCTTAATGATAAGCAAGGGACCCTGTAGCTAGAACTCAAAGGTTTGCACTTGAACTTGCTTTGCAACAATTACTGAGAAAAAAAAGCATGGTAGCTGAGGAAATAGACTGCAGTCAATACCGCCTTCCATGCAGGTCTTTTCTCGGAATAAGCTATAAACCCCTTGCAGGCTTTATGGTCAGGCATAATTAGAGTCGTCTTCTACAGAGGTTGTACACTGTTCAACAGTCTGGGGTGGTGGAGTGCTGTGGAGGAGGCCTGAGGAACATTTGAGAATCAAGGCAAGGTGAGGATGGATGAGGAAGCAGATTTGTATAGAATGAGGAATGCGCAGAGAGGTAGATGTGGACTCCTGCCCTTGCACTGTAACATGCCAGATGTTAGCCTTCCAGCAAGTTCTGCCAGATCTTTGAGTCTTAGTTTCCTCACCTGTCAGATGGAGGTAAATATTTTCATAACATTTACAGGAGCTAAACATGACCCATCATCGCAGAGCACAGAACAAGGACAGGGGCTCATGAGGGAGGAGCTTCTATCCCACAGGGCACATGGGGAGAAGTTTCACTCTTTGACACCATCCCTGGCTGTGTACTAGGTCTTTACCTACTGGTGAGCCTGATGCTATTTTATTTTATTTATTAATTTAATTTCACTCACTGGAACTTATCTGTTGAATATTTGTGTCTGCCAGCACTTTTCAAGACACTGAGGATAAGGAAAGGGATGAGCCATGGGCTCCACCCACTCTCATTCAGTTTGCCTTTACCATGACAGTTGGAAATATGCACATACACTACTGTGCTTATTGGTTAGTCAACTGTATTAATTTATTTTTGTGTATATGTGTGTTCTTGTGTGCTTGCACATATGTGAGCACAAGTATGTGTGCATATAGAATCTTCTACAGTTGCATTCCACACGATCTACTGAGGCAGGGTCTCTCACTTGAATCCTGAGCTGGCCAATTCATTCCTAGCCAGCTTGCTTTGGGGGTCCCTATCTACTACTCCTAAGCACTGAGATTGTAGGCAGATTGCCTGCATTTACGTGGGTACGGGGTCTGCCCTCAAACTTGTATAATGAGTTCTTTACACACTGAGCCATCCTCCCAGCCCCAAATATTTTGTTTCAAAGAACAGCTGAAGTGATACAGAATGGCAAGGACATACCAGAGGTGGAGGCACCTTTCTCAGCACAGTACAGCAGCTTTATTAGCTATATAACTTATAAATCATATCATTTCTGCATCTAAGGCACACAGTTCAATGGTTTTTGGTGTGTTCACATAGTTGTGCAAACACGAACATATTAGATCTTTGCCATCACTTCAAAAAGAAACTCTCCATCCAGAATGGGGATGCCCAATTTCTTTCTGTCCCTCCCTCAGACCCTAAACCCATTGAGATGACTTCTGTCTCTATGGGTTCATCACAGATACTTCATGGAAATTGTCACTCAATATGTGTTTCTCTGACTGGCTGCTGTCACCATTGAGGATTCTACGATCTGTCTGGGGATCTGTGTGTACCAGTCCTCATTCTTTACTGCTGCAAAGGATTCTGTATGTGGACAGGATGCATACAATTCTGTTTATCCATTATCAGTTAGTGGGCAGGTGATTTGTCCATGTTGTTCAGGCATTATGGGCAGTGCTATTATGAACATTAGTGCATCAGTGTTTTTGTGTGTACATGTGTTGTGATGCTGTTTAGCTTTAACTGACAAGTGAATATACTTTCTGATCACCTGGGAAGAGTCTCAGTGAAGGGTGGTTAACACTGGGTTGGGCTGTGGGCATGTCCATGGAGTGACTGACTTGATTGTCCTCATGGTTTGGGAAGGGTGGTGGCTGCTACTACTCATGTGAAAGGGAGTTGGAGGAAAGAGGCTTTCCCCTTTCTTGCTTTCCTGGCCTTCACAGTTCCTGGCAAGATCATCTACTCTATTGTGGCCACTGCTGATCCCTTCACTGATATCAGAACTGGTTTCTTCAGACTCCCAACATAGACTGAAGGAAGACTTTACTGATTCCTTTTCTGGTATTAGAATCAGCTTCTTTGAAATTCCAGTGTGAGCTGAAGGCCGGTGGCTCCTCAGGGAGCCCCAGACCTTAGTACCAGCTTATGACTGCTGCTATATCTAGCTTCATGCATCAAGCAGCTACCAGGTCCCCTGTCTCTTTGGTGTGAGACATCACTGTTGGACTGCTTCAGCCATATTGTGTAAGCCACAATATGGTAATGGTCCCCTGTAATGTGTGTTCTGTTCCCCCAGAGAACCCAGGTTATTTGTGTGTTCACCAGACTTCTCATTCTGTGACAAAATACTCCAGGGGTGGGGATTTAGTTGGGCTCCTGGTTTCAGAGGTATCGGCCATGGTAGGTTGATTCCGTGTTTCTGTGCTAGCTATAAGAGTCATCAGGGCTGAAGAGAATGGCAGGCCAGAGCTGTTCACCTCATATTATCCAGGAGAAGGTGTATCATTCTAGAACACTCTGCAGTGACCTGCTGCCTCTAGTTAGGCCCCACCTCAGCTTTCCAATGTCTCCCTCAAAAGTACCACTTTTTGAGGGTACACGAGCCTGTGGGGGAACATTTCCCACTTAAAGCAGAAAAATGTATTTTAATGTTCATTTTTACTTAATAATCTTAAAATTAAATTTATTTATTTATTTATGTGTGTGTGTGTGTGTGTGTGTGTGTGTGTGTGTTCATGCATGCACACTTGCAGATCAGAGGACAACTTTTGTGAGTTGGTTCTTCCCTTCCACCAAGTTGCTAGATCTGGGGATTGAACTCTAGTCATCAGGCTTGGCAGCAAGCACCTTTACCCACTGAAGTCATCTTGCTGGTCTTGGTTTTAATATTCATTAATATGTACTTATGATGCAATTTCTGGATCCCCTTGAGGAGCTTTCTACAGTAATGGTGCTACTTTACATTCCCACCATTAGAGCGTTGATAGTTTGAATTCGCCTATACCAATGTTCTCAGCCTTCCTAATGCTGTTACCCTCAGGTTGTGGTGACCCCCAACCACAAAATTACTTCACTGCTACTTCATAACTGTAACTTTGCTACTGTTATGAATCACTGATCTATACCATCTTCTCCATCCTGATGTTAGGAAAGGATAGGTCCTTGCCAGTTGGACCTGCTTTTCTCTGATGGCTCATGGCACCTTTTCCATGCTTGTTTGTGATGAGTGTTACACAAACCTCTCTCATGAGGGTTCTAATTA